ATGTATGGACGCCGGCTGGGGCCCCCTGTGCAATGCATGGATTTATTGGCTTGCGTGGATACATTTGTTTGGAACGCAGTATATGAAAGGAACGTGCGTTTGTTCTCTCTGGGGTGCCTGATCAACACGCTTGAGATAATGACGTTGTCCCTGTGAATGAGCGTGCATGAGAATCCTAGTAACCTTATGTGGCATTGCTCACTGAGCAACGCGGGATAAAGTCACTCCGGTGGTCATTGATTGTTACTACATGTGATTTGTTAGCTGACTCCTGTTCCCTTCCTGTCTGTCCCACTTCCTGGTTTGCTGGTTGTTGAAATCATCTGTTGGTTTTCCATCACTTCCTGTCTCGCTGTTTGAGACACCCCTTCCTGTCTGACATCACTTCCTGTCTCGCTGTTTGAGACACCCCTTCCTGTCTGACATCACTTCCTGTTGGGCAGGTATAAACAATAAACATACCTGCGCTCAGGGCTCTTAGCATGGGATTAACGAACAAGCAACATCTGTCTCCTGACTCTACATGACTCTATAGAAGGGGATACTTCCAGTCCTTGCATAAAAGAGTGTAGTACAACGGGGGAAATTCTTTGCGTTTGGCGCAGCTTAATGCGACATGGATTTGTGCGTTGAACCAAGTGAATTTCCATAACATACTTTAACAAGAGATAAACATGTTCATAAACACAGCAGTCAAATATCTATGGTGGCTATGGTGTGTCAGTTTGATAATGACTTTTGTTTGCCAGTAGAGTAGCATTTTGACTCGAGCTTATACATTTTGACTTCCATCTCCACCTTCCAATCCCCATCCCACTGAGGAAGCTCTTCTAGTCTGTACTAGGGCTTATGTCAATATACTTTTCTTTACATCAGACAGATTTTGCATTTCTACACAAGTCTCCAGAAATGCAAAAGCCCCTTGAAGCAGGTCAAATTCAGGTTAGAATGAGGTCAACTGAAGGTCAGACCAGTTAATGAATTCTGAATGATCCCAGAAGCATCTCAAACCAATGTTATCAACACAAGCCCAAAGCCCATCGACCTTAGTCAGAATTTTGATAGTCATAAACATATTCCTTTAAATTATTTGCTTTCTATATTTTGCTATATTTTGGTTTCTATATTTATTTTTTAATCATAAATGTTTTTTTCCATAAACAGAAAATTCAGCTGAAGTAGAAGAATCAACTAGCTTGGTAGATAAAGAACCAGATCCATCTCCTTTCCAGAAACCTTTGGCACAGCCGCCTCTTATTTTAGATTACAAATGTCTGCACAAAAATGTAAACTGGGATATATTGGAATCTGAAGTCTTCTGTCTGACTGGTGAGAACGCTTTATTTTCATTTAAACTGTTAAGGTGCCCATACACCTTACGACCATGGCAAGACCTTTGTTCTTTCCCGCGATTCTCGTACGAGAATCGTAGAGTGTATGGGCACCTTTAGTTCATGTACAAATATGGTTTCAGTTTTGGGTAGATGCCGATGAGTTGAACCTTTGCAGTGAAATCTCTGCAAGGGATTTACCTCGCTACCATCCACCCATAATTAATATATTAGTTTTGACTGGCTGAAACTGTAATACGGTATATGTAACATGCCATGTATAGATTGTATAGTGATCTTTCACTGAGCTCAAAAGGCAACATTTAGGATCAATAGCTCTTCCCATCCTAATAGTGTCTGCCATTGGGATTGCTGATTTTAAAGTGTACATTGAAATTAAATAAATTTACTAACCTACTATAACACATTTACACTCTTTGTGTACATTCATGTCATGCTGTTTTTCAGAGCACTGTTAAAGGAGAACTATGGGGTCAGTGTTTTTCCCCATAGTTCTCCTTGAGGTAACGGGAGGACACCAACTAGCGTCCTCCCGTTACCCTAAGCTCAGTATACCGCGAGCTACATCCCGATAATGATGTCTGGATCTGCCCAGCTGCGTGACTGACAGCTGGCTCTGCCTATCTAGAGGCAGAGCCAGCTGTACCCG